CTCAATGCATCAAGGGAAATTGGGAAAATAGAATAGACTTTCCTCGTTCCCTTGATGCATTGCGAGATCGAGGTAGATATGACTGGGGACGAATCACAAGAATGTTCTACTATATACTGCCACTCTATATTTCATGAATGTTTTGTCATTCTAGCGGTGAGAAAGACAAGCTCAACCCTTACCTTCACACATAATACAATGTCCACAAGGCTCAAAGATAACGTGAGCTTCACCATCGACACAAATCAAACACTCGCTGTCCTCGTCGTCTGTCCGTTTCTTTTTTATTATGGGGGTGTCAGCCTCGCCATTTTGAAAATTCTCTTCGGTCTGTTGATGCACTGCTTTAATCCCAATATGTTTGKGTGAGTTGTTTTGCGATATTCCATCAGATTCGCTTCCTTGAGTGACATTCACCAGTTCATCGTCAGGTAGTGAGGAGTTTTGGTCGTCGTCTGTCACCATTGGTTGATCAGTTTTGACGGTTCCAAACTCGTTCACGATTTTCATAGGAGGTTTTTCGTCTTCTTCTTCAGTTCTTAGAAGAAAGAAAATCGTCAAATTTGAAGCCTCRCTGAAGCCTCGTCCCTTGAAGACGAAGAGCTACACAAAAGCACATCAATGTGGGCGAGTTTTACCCTGAGAAGTAGTGCTAGCCATTTACTGACTATGATCTCACATGTAATTCAATATTTCCTTTTTCTTCAATTGCCTGATTCGTGCAATTTTATGCAATTTATGTAAGTGTGGTATGGTCGTCAGGCTGTGAGAAGTCTTGAGGAAGACTGCTATAGTTTTGGCATCTATACCGACTGTTTGTTTTCTAACTCCGAAGATGAATTCCACGCAGAATGTCGAAGCGTCAGTTAATATAACAGTCTTCCTCCAGACTTCTCACACCCGGATGATCTTACCACACCTAGTTCGCTTACACCCGGGGTCAAACCGTTCACTCATATCTAATTTCTTAAATGTATTTCACGGGTAATGGACCCTAATCAACGTATTACTTTGTTTTTGAGTACGCTTCCTTGAGTTCTTCTTGTAACTTTGATCCTTCACCATAGTCCATCGGTGTCTTGCCCATTCTGTTTGGCTTACGAACATCCGCTCCATGGGATATCAAATAGCGAGAAATGTCAACAAAAGACCCAGGACTGTTGCCAAGAATACTTAACATCTGTTAACAAATCAGAGATGCGGTGATTATATCGCTTTTGATCATTTGCTGCAGTCGGATTGGCTAAAAAGTGTGCAAAATAATGGCATCCCCTTTAAAAAAAATTATTTGATTTGAATTCGTCGTATGTATGGTCCCATTTAGGAGAATCCGGAATCCATAAAAAAACAGCTTTGGAATCCAAAGTCCATATACTGGAATCCAAATATTTGGAATTCAGAATCCTGCAAAAATTTTGAAATCCAAAAAATTATCCGGAATCCAAAAACAATGATTCTTTGGAATCCGGAATCTCTAGGCTTTGAATCGGCAATCTCTAGGCTTGGAACCCGGAATCCTCTAGTTCTCTGGATTTTCTTACATGGAGCAATGTAAGATTCATTTGTAATATGGAACTTAGTGGTCTTACCATTCCCATYCCCGAGGAGGTGAATTTCTCTCTCATCAGTGACATGTGTAGAGGWGTGTCACCATCCTCGTCTGTTTGGTTAACGTTCGCTCCTTTCTGTTCTAGTATCTGGACCATTGTTAAGTATCCTTCGTGTACTGCAAGCATTAGGGGAGTCTGGTAGCTTTTAGTGAGAGCGTCGACTTTGCAGTCGGGCTGTAAAACGAACAAAAGCTTTAGTTTATGGACATTGATTCGTTAGGACTTCTTTCTTTACSACAGCCTGGGCGAATAGTGCTATCCACCGGATAAATCCTTATCGAGGGGATAAAATCCCTGCAAAATATATGAGGTGGGTGCAGACTTTATCCACCCTAAATTCGTACAATCGTCCCGGTCCTTGGTTTTAATTCGACGCAAGTGCAAGTGCTTCCAATTGGTATAGTCAGGTGACCAATCGAACSAGTGACAAACGTTGTTCAACCATTCTTCCTTGTACTGAGACTATTTCAAAATGGCTGACTTCGAAAAAWCGTTTGTGCCACTACTGAAATGATTAGTTTTCAAAGCGTCTATATGTGGATAGCGTTGTAAGTGCTCATGAGGTTAGGTAGTGGTAATACGAATGCAGAATATATACGTACGTGTTCCAGTAGCGCTTCAGCTATGTCRCAATGATCRTTCACAGCAGCCAAGTGAAGGGAAGTAAAACCGTCTTCTTTTGCTACATTCAACAACTCTGGAGACCTGGAAAGAAGCTTTCTCGCTGCGCTGCAAAAATGGAAAATAACGTGTAACGTCAAAGTTGATATTTCGTGATGACTGGCTGAGTAATGCCACTCGCTTCATATACAACATCGTGTTGTTTCTCCGTTTTGCCATCTTAGAAACATTTTAACACGCGACTGAATCTCCCTTTTTAATCTTTTTCAACCATTCCAATGAGATTCAAAAGATAAAAGACCGGCGGCCATGTTGGAGGAATGAACAATAGATACTAATAAGAAATCCTTTGTTAAAGTTCCTCCAAGATGGCCGCTGTGACGTAACTTGAAAACGAAGAATGAGATCGTTATAGCTATTTCGAAACATCAAGTGCATCCTTACTAAGAGTTTCCTCGAAATGCAGAGATTTGCAAACAATTGAAACCCTTTTGGTTCTTCAAAGTGAGGTTGAGGCGAGGAGCGTCTAAAATCAGGTCGACGATTGCGTTACTTCGTAGCTGTATTGCGTCATGCAGAGGGGTGTCGCCAACTGCATCCTAGTAAAGTTAATGTCACGCAATTAACTATAGACGTAGCTCAACATTAATCGATCGTCTTCCCATATGACGTCATGCTATTTCCGGCTAGATAGTGCATTATGGGAATGTCGGAAGTGCATACTGAAGCAATGTTGCTGAGAGCGCAGCCATCTTATGAAATGTACGTCGAAATTATCTCCGACAACGCGTTAATCAGTCTCACATTGTACTTTTCATAAATGATCCGCCATATTGAAACTTTTATCAATACCATCATCATGATAACTTTATTTATTTATTTATTATTTTATTTTACGAGGGTAGCACATTACAGTCAAAGACTGATAAACTCGTGGCCCTCCCAACTCACACTCACTACCTCTACATTAAGTATTTTTAGCACACAACACTCCTCACATGTTGATTTTTACTGAGGGAGGAAAACCGGAGGACCCGGAGAAAAACCCTCGTGGCAAGGGAGAGAACAACACAWCAAACAAACTCAAACTCACATATGGTCYGTGTCYGGGAATCRAACCCGGACCACAGCGGTGAGAGGCCAGTAGCTTAACCACTAGGCCACCCGTGCCATGCGCTTCGTCTTTATATACGTGACGTCATAACGGCGAAAGCGCCATTGCACTGACCTGCAAGTTGACGTCGCACTTTTCGCTCTGCACCAGACATCTAACAGCATTCACGTTGGTTTCTTTTACAGCAAGGTGCAACGGCGTACTCTTTTGGTCGTTGTCAGCGGTATTGGGGTCTTCATCATGCGCTAACATGACTTTGAGGGCTTCACCAGATTTATCTCTGTTATCGAAAGAATTTGCTTATAAAGACATTTAATTGAACAGCTTTTGTCGCCACTCCATGAACAATCTCTCTGAAAACCTTTTTTTTTTGCAATTGCTGTATATTGTATAATCTTACCCATAAGCCGCATGATGAATAGCTACGTAGCCTTGCGAATCCTACAAAACATTGACAACCCGTCAATCATAAGTCACGTGACTAGCTGTACGAATGGGGTGCATTGTGGGTAACCCACATGCATTATGGATAATTTACCTTGATGTTCGTGTCACAGTTTGGTGTTTCCAGGAGAAGCTTGATGATATCGCTGTGCCCACTATGGCAGGCGAGATGGAGACTTGTTTTCCCCATGATTTTGTAGTTCACCTTAATACATTAAGAAATATCAAAATTACCGATGAGAAACTCGTTGGTAAGGTTTTTCACTGTAAGACTCCGCAGCGAGATAAGATTAAAAATGTTTCGTTGCCGACATGCAACATTGTAAAGTATTTTATCTAAATGCAGAGTTCGTGCTACTCCTTGAAGTCCTTGAAAAGCCCTGGAGAGCTGAAAACTTTGGAAATGGGGAAAATCACTAAAACTCGTGGAAAACTCCTTGAATCTGACGATAAAATTGGCATGTTGCTTGTTAGCTTTTTGATTGAAATGTGGCTATTTTTGAAAATCGCCACTTGAAACGTAAACTACAAACATCAAAACTTCAAACAGTTCAAGAAAATCGAATTTTTTGGGCTTAAAAAGTACTTGCAAAGTCCTGGAATTTTGTGGTGAAAATGTAGCACGAACCCTGTAAATGATTCACGAGGCGGAATCGTCTTTATTTGTATGACATTTAGATTTGATTTCCAGATTCACTTATATTTCTTAAATTTTAAGGTCATAGCAAAACCCACCAGTTCAGGATGTGCGTTGAGTATTCGTTTTGCGCGCGATAAATGACCATTAGATGCTGCATTCACTAAAGCTTTTCCTTCTTGACTAGTGTCCTCTTCGTTATCAGAACCATTTTGATCTGGCATAAACATCTGGGACAGCACTAAAAAAAAACAGTATTGAAACATTCTCTTACCCAGATTCTTCCAAGTTTTCAACGGAAATAATGGCTCTGTTTGGATACGATACCGGAAGGAGACCCAGAACTCTTGGTCGTATGATATATGCATACTCACTGATGGCACATGGGAATTTTTGAACCAATCAAATCAAAGTCTTATTCGTCGACAACTAAAGCCTTCAGTTTTCCCTTGGGAAACTGAGAAGGATCTGTATTGAAATGGTTATTGAGTGATTGCCCTAAACCGTGAAACAAATGTTACTAGTTAGTTAATTCATTGATGTTTCCCCTCTAGTTTGAAGTTATCAAACATTTGTTCGCCGTTTACAGGTGTTTCTAAAAAAAGGTTGGAGAAGACATTGGAGAGGTGCTGAGTATTTTTTTATATTTTTTACTAAACATTCCACTCTTGACCGAAAATAGATTATTTTCAAACTCAATTAAATTCATAACAAAGACGGCAGACAGGAATTGGCATCTCTTTATTGGTTAGGGTGCTATCTCGGTTTTTTTACTTGATGCTTATTATATTACTATTGACCTAGTCTTGGTATGCCAGTTACAGGTATATTTCCATATTTAAACTTTACGTACTCGTGTTTAGGAGAACCTTCGATGGTTTACACTGACTGATTTCACACATATATACCTCACAGAATCAGAATATCAGAATCAGAATCGAATAGTTTATTGACAAATTATGGATGTGATTCTTGCGCATAATCAGTACTCGAAATCGAACAGATGAATTTGTTTTCAACTATTCCAAAACGTGCAATAGTTTGAAGTTAATCATGATGTCTACCGCTTTTCTGGATCTCATCAATTTTTTGAGATATTTGGCAAAAACGAATTTAGACAAAATGCGAGTTTTGTTCCCTAGTTAACGTTAATGGAGATAAAGATATCATGCCAAACAAAACTTTGATCAATGGTTTATTTCTAGTCCAAGCACCAAATAAATCGGTGCATGGAAAGATTTTTAAATTATAATTATTTAACCTGCGTAGCGGACCTCTTTAATAAGTTGTGTCTTCCAGCACACAATGATAAAAATGCAAGTCAAATGAACGAAAACTCATTGGTTAGTGAGTATCTGAAATCGAAGAGTTTTATTTGAAAAGTTTAATTATCGTCAAGGTGTAATTTTCCGATCGACAAGAGGAAAAAGATAAACTTAGCTGCATTAATCTAAATGATCCCCTTGACGCATGTGGCGTCAAATTAACTAAATGGCTTCACCTGGGAGACAAAACAAGGACAAATCATTGTTTCCCAGTTGGTGCTGTATTCGCTCATAAACTCTATAAAATCGCTGGCAAGCTGTATATGCCTGCAACCAGCAATAATAAGTAGAGTGCACGCCACATAAGCATGAAACAATTCTTAACTAATTAGCGCCTAATAAGATTTAGTTATCAACTAACTAAGAATAGTGAGGCATAAACAAAGGCAAATTTCCTTTCTGAAATCGTGTTCATGCCCCAGTGAATCCTTAGTTAGTTGATTATAACTAATTCTTATTAGATGTTGATAGTTAAGAATTGTTTCACGCTTTTTTGGCGTGCACTCTACTTGAAAACTTGTACTAATATGAGGACTGAGATTGTGTTAGTCAAAAACATTTTCTTTGTCAACGTGTTTACAGGAAGTGAATCATTAGATAAGACAAATACTGCGGTCAATGTTTAAGAAGGTAGTAGACCGTTATAATGCTAATAATTCAGACAGTAAATTGTCAATATTTGCGGAAAGGAACTAAAAGGAAGTCTTAGCAAGGCATGATATTATGTCTGGTTAGTAACGACGCTTGGAATTTCTAAGTATTTTTGATTTGCTTCCATTTACAGCCTTTTGCACAAATTATGAGACATTTTTATATATATAAATATACCTAACCAAATATCAAAAACACCCAAGAAATTATGGGATACCGTCGCTGATATTTTGTCTGTAACAACCTGATGCTAGGCAATCATGACAAAATATAATAGAGATATACCATAATTTCTGGGGTGTTTTTGATATTTGGTTAGGTATATTTATATATATAAAAATGTCTCATAATTTGTGCAAAAGGCTGTANAACCATTCCAATGAGATTCAAAAGATAAAAGACCGGCGGCCATCTTGGAGGAGTGAACAATAGATACTAATGAGAAACCCTTTGTTAAAGTTTCTCCAAGATGGCCGCTGTGACTTGAAAACGAAGAATGAGATCGTTATAGCTATTTCGAAACATCAAGTGCATCCTTACTAAGAGTTTCCTCGAAATGCAGAGATTTGCAAACAATTGAATCCTTTTTGGTTCTTCAAAGTGAGGTTGAGGCGAGGAGCGTCTAAAATCAGGTCGACGATTGCGTTACTTCGTAGCTGTATTGCGTCGTGCAGAGGGGTGTCGCCAGCTGCATCCTAGAAAAGTTAATGTGACGCAATTAACTATAGACGTAGCTCAACATTAATCAATGACGATCCTTTTCCCATATGACGTCATGCTATTTCCGGCTAGATGCATTATGGGAATGTCGAAGTGCATACTGAAGCAATGTTGCTGAGAGTGCAGCAATCTTATGTAATGTTTGTCGAAATTATTTCCGACAACGCGTTAATCAGTCTCACATTGTACTTTTCATAAATCATACGCCATATTGAAACTTTTATCAATACCATCATGTACTTCGTTTTTATATTCGTGACGTCATAACGGCGAAAGCGCCATTGCACTGACCTGCAAGTTGACGTCGCACTTTTCGCTCTGCACCAGACATCTAACAGCATTCACATTGGTTTCTTTTACAGCAAGGTGCAACGGCGTACTCTTTTGCTCGTTGTCAGCGGTATTGGGGTCTTCGTCATGGGCTAACATGACTTTGAGGGCTTCACCAGATTTATCTCTGTTATCGAAAGAATTTCCTTAAAAAGACATTCAAAAGACCAAGTGATACCAAACCTTTTGTCCACTTGGAGTGGAAGGGCTTTTTTGCAGTTGCTCTATATTTAGTAAAATCTTACCCATAAGCTGCGTGATGAATAGCTACGTAGCCTTGCGAATCCTACAAAACATTGACAACCCGTCAATCATTAGTCACGTGACTAGCTGTACGGATGGGGTGCATTGTGGGTAACCCACATGCATTATGGGTAATTTACCTTGATGTTCGTGTCACAGTTTGGTGTTTCCAGGAGAAGTTTGATGATATCGCTGTGCCCACTATGGCAAGCGAGATGAAGACTTGTTTTCCCCATGATTTTGTAGTTCACCTGAATACATTAAGAAATATATCTTTAAGCAAAATTAGTGATGGGAATGTCGTTGGTAAGGTTTTTCATTGTAAGACTATCCGCATTGATTAAAAATGTTTCGTTGCCCGCATGCAACATTGTCAAGTTTAATATCTAAATGATAAAGTTATTCACGAGGCATCGTCTTCTTTGTACGACTTTTAGATTGAATTTTTAAGGCCAGATCAACTTTTATCTTTTAATTTTCAGTCAATTATGAAAGAGCTGACGTTTGATATATCATAGCAAAACCCACCAGTTCAGGGTGTGCGTTGAGTATTCGTTTTGCGCGCGATAGATGACCATTAGATGCTGCATTCACTAAAGCTTTTCCTTCTTGACTGTCCTCTTCGTTATCAGAACCATTTTGATCTGGCATAAACATCTGGGATAGCACTAAAAAAAACAGTATTGAAACATTCTCTTACCCAGATCCTTCTAACAGTGTTCTAAGTTTTCAACGGATGAAAGGCTCTGGTTGGATAAGACACCGGAAGAAGACCCTGAATCTGGGTTGTACGATATATGCATTGCTGCTGGCACATGGGAATTTATTATTCAATCAAATCAAAGTCTTATTTGTCGCCAACCAGAGGCTTTTATATTCCGTCGGGATACTGATAAGGATTTGGTTACGAGTATGGTAATGAAATGGTTACAGAGTGATTGCCATAAATCCGTGAAGCTAATTGTACTAGATAGTTAATTGATTGATTTTTCCATTCTAGCATGTAGTTATCAATCATTTGTTGGGCCGTACTATACAGGTATTTCTAAAAATACGTTAGAGGAGACATTTAATCGATGCAATGTATTTTTCATACTTTCTGCCGTTTGCAAATCCTTGAATTTCTAAAAAAGATCTGTTCCGTCAAGAGTATGTATATATATGTGAGTTATACCCGTCTTCGGTTCCGTCTTCCTTCACAAAATGAGACAAATGTAATTCAAATTAACGAAAACGCATTAGTTTTGAGTATCTGAAACTGGAAATGTTGATTTGAACAAAGAGAGTGGGCATAAAACAAGCTCAACAAAGTTTAATTCTCATCAAGATGTCTAATTGTCCGATAGACAAGAGGAAGATGCATTAATCTAAATGATTCCCTTGCATGTGGCGTTAAATTAACTAAAATAACTTCACGTAAGAGACACAACAAAGACAAATCATTGTCTCCCAGTTGGCGTTGCCTTCTTCGATCCATAAACTGCAAGTCACCGGCAAGCTGTATATACCTATTTCAAGAAAGGTTGTCGGATAAAATGGGGACTGTCAATTGTCGAACGGCGATTGCACGTCCGAAAGTAACCATTGGTTTTGCTATCATTGATAAGAAATAACAGCTGATTTATACTATAAGATAGTGTGTGGCTCCATTTAGTCACCATTTCTATGCTAGGTGAATCCAATAAGTGAATTTTGTTTGTCAAAACAGTAACCAAAGTCCCTTTCGGCCGTGCAATCTCCCTTCGACAATCGTCGTTCGCCTTTCTCCCCGACAACATTTTTGAAATAGCTCTATGCCTGCAAACAGCAATGAGTACACTTGAGAACTTGTAATAACGACTGAAATTGTATTAGTCAATAACATTACAATAACATGAAGTGAATTTTTAGATAAACAAATAATGCGGTTACTGTTTAACAAGGAAGTAGACCGTTATGGTGCTAAGTAGTTGAAAATAAATTCTTGATATTAGCGAAAAGGAACTAAAACGGAGTTTTAGCATGATATGATTATGGAACTTCTCAATATTTTTGTTTATTTTTTCTTTTTTTGTTTTGCTTCCAGTTATACAAAGATATCAATCGAAAACCCTTGTACCTTGTACCCTTGTACCGTTTTTCTGTACTTTACTCAGAAATATTCAAGTACAAACTCTCTTTCATTGTTAAGTGTTTGTATTCAAATAGCCCAAAAGAAGTTGATTGATCGGTTGAATCTTCGTCGCATGATCAAAACACAAAATTCTAGACGAACTTCAAAACTCTAATTCTTTTCATAAATATATTTTAAGGTCCCCAGCTATAAATTGACTGGCTTTGTGACATTTGCTTCCCTTATCAGCGCGATAAATGTAGTTGCGTAAACAGTATGGCTGTTTTTATTTTTACACTTTGGTTACACTTGATAAAGATAGAAATAAATGGTCAAATATAGCTTCGTATTTTATATACATGACTATAATATAATTCTATAGCTACAACGATGCCAAAAATGACTCTCTTGCAAGAAAATGTAATATAAATATCATTAAGGTAGAGTTCGCACATCTTTCACCTTGAAAGAAACGTGTAAAATAGTCTAAAGAAGACTTTATGTTGCGTTGTTGCTCCTGAACCACCAAGTAGTAGTTTAAGAATGCGGCAATGAAAAAACATCTCAGCTGTTTGTTCGACTAACCAGCACTTGTCACATGGAGGGAAAAATTTGTTCCCACCCCTCCAGGCTAGTATCCAAAACTAAGCCCATAAAACGCGGCCTGAGTTCCTGAGTTCCATCATTCAGTGAATCTCAAGCCAAAGACTTCATCCAAGCCATAACATTAAAGCGTTTACTACTGACGGACGTAAGATGAAGACACTATTCATTCTTGCAGCTTTCACTCTAGTCACGGTGTGGACCGTTGAAGGTAATTTATCTTTTTTCTTTTTTGAATATTCTTTTTTAGTATAGTATATAATACATCTCTATATCTTGTTTCAAAGTATCTGTCTCCACTGAGTGTATTCGTTCTTTAAGTGAACAAATTTTGACTTACCCTTCGAGCAGAGGAAATTTTCCACTCCCTTCTTCGTTGAGTTTGACTCGAATTATACGATTGACTGACTTGATGCAGTATATGTTCCATTCTTACGTAGTCCATATATTTTGCAGCAATAAAATTGACTCTTGCCTTCATTTTTAAGCCAATACAACTTGATCATTTCACAGGAGGAAGAGTTCACGATTCCATCGTTCTTCGCGTGTTCAACAAAGATTTGAGAATGTCTTCTGCTAAGATGCACGCGGTCCTCAAAAAGGCCAACCTTGAATCCCGCGGGTTCGAGAAGGAGGTCATCACTAAACTAGTCCGTCATCCAATCAGCAAAAAAGCTGAGTACACCAAGACTTATTACTACTACAAGACGGTGACTTGTGACAAGGTTCTAGAAGTAGAGCAGGAACTGGATAGGCTTCTTGGAGGTAATTCGCGCTAAATTTAAATCACCTCTGTGTTCACATTTTGCGTCAAACCAAACAAAACAACAACAACAACAGAAAAAACGTCAAAAAAAAAACAAAAAACAAGCAAACAGACGTGGAGCGGCTTACTTAAAAAACGTCAAAACGTTTGTGCACCAGTTGTACTGTGGCTTTATCAACTTAGTTTTTAGTCTTTTATCAAATTAACCATTTCCCCTACGGTTTGGTATTGTCAGCACCATAAGAATGGTGCCTTAAGAGATTATCATTTTCCGGCCAAATCGTTAGTTGCAGCCATAACACCAGTCTAAAACCTCATTCATTATTATTATAAGGAAAAGTACTTGGAGCGAGCGTTTATCGCAAGGCCAAGAAAGATTTCAAAGACAAGAACATCGGCGACCCAAAGAAGATGTGTAAATCCGGAGTCGAGATTCATTTTAGAAACCAGCAGCACTGCGGGAAAGAGGCGGACGAAGGAGACCAGAACAAACGTTTTGCAAAGCGGGATTGTAATTGCATGTGGTGCACTTGCAATTTTTGTTGGAGAGCGGTTAAATCATACTAATAATTGTAAAACGAGTGCAAAAGGGAAGGAAAACTGATAAGGAAAGTATAAGATAAAGTAGCGGCTTTGTTTGTATGTAAGGCAAAAGGGAAGTAATAAAAATATAAGATATTAAAGGAACTTAATCTGGTTTGTTTGTTCGTGTTCTTGATTGAATATTACCATCAATATTGATAGGTAGTGTCCTAACGCCGTCAGGATTTATGCGTCAGACCCTCTTGGATCCTCAACTTAACACTATTTGCGGTTAGAAGTGGAAGTAAGAGGTACAGAGAAAATGATTCCGCTTCCGTCCCTAAAACCTTTGGCCCTTGAATTTTCCTAGAACCTTTTTATTTTTTTTATTATTATTTGATTCTACTAACGTTTTTGGAGTTGAACTTGTTGCTTGAGGAGGCTTTCGATTGGATTGCTCATGTCTTCATCATCGCTATCGCCCTTGGCGGCTTCGTGAAGAGTTAGAATTGCTGGATTAACAAGCCAAATGTTACCCTCAACTGACATTACGACATCCCCGTCCTCTTCGTGTACAGCCTTGATAGTACCTATCATTCCCAGTATCTGTTGATTTTAAAACATGCGACATTTTATTTCATGATTGTTGCTCCCAGCTTTATCTCGGACAAAAAATATTCTGGGGTAAAATTGCACAGTGTATCACGGCCAATAGTTTTCTCAGAAACTTCTGATACAGAGTTGTTGCGAGACACATCAGAACACTACTGCACATTCTAACAATAGTCTTCTTCACGGTTACCTGCGCCATCTTGAAAGGTACGTAGCTGTGCCTTTACATCGAAGCGAGACAACCTTTGAGTGTGCAATGATAGATATATACCTGTGAATAATTGTCTGTAGGTGTGAAAGAAGGTTTCTATCATTGCACGCTCAACGGTCGTCTCGCTTCGATGTAAAGGTACGGCTACCTTTCAAGATGGCGCAGAGAATCGTGAAGAAGGCTATTTACTTAATTTCACATGAATAACAAGGAAACACACTACATCACTGCCACTAAATCTAATATTATTGGAACCATCTTTGCTACTGTGCACAAAATTCGATATGTTACCGTTTTCATCTTGTCATTCCAACCACCATGTCCTTCTTGCATCTCCATTACGAACTTCTTGTCGCTGCTCACTAAGACTTTGTCTCCTGCTTTATACTTGGGAATCTTGACACAAACAAAAATGGACAAACATATGAATATTCCTCTTTCTTGTTCGACAAAGTGAATGACCGCTGTTGCACTGACAACAGACTAAAGAAAGCTCTCATTATAATAGCAATGAAAGTTTACCATTTTTTCCAAATTGAAAATAACCCTGTATTCACAAAAGCCTTTAAGCGTTAGGAAAGCATTTGTTCATTGGGAGAGCCTTTTATGAAAGAGAAGGTTCTGTCAAATGAAACAGCGGTTATATCTGAACGTGAAGAAGGAACACTTCATCGGTGGGGAATTTTGAAATGAAATCTAACTGCTTGATAACAAATGGCGGCCAATGTTTGATCATCATCTTACAAATTGAGGTCCATGAGATGCACAATTATCATTTGAGTGAAACCCAGCAATCAATTTGGATTGATAGGCCTGATAGTGTTTTTATAGGTAACCTGAATTTTGGGCCCCTTTTCCCCTCCCCCTTTCACTATAGCCCCATCGAAGGCTTGATACCCAGGTTAGTGTTTTAGATGATTGAAGATTTAGACAAAATTTAAAATGGGGGATGTTTATTATGGCAATGTATCTACGAGTTTTGTGTATAATGCCGAGAGCATTAGGTGGTGAAATAAAACGCCAAAGAACGGTAGAATATATGTTTGACATCCGCGAAGTTAACGTCAAATGACGCGCCACTGAGGAGTGACGTTCCTAATGATACAGAGTAATCGCATGAACTCAGACCATGCATCACTTCACTCTCATATGTGGGTTACCTGTGCGATAGCTGAAGGCGTCAACCGCCATTTTACACCGTCGTAGCTAACTATGACGTCACCTGATTTCGTAAAATCGTACACAACGCCAACTTTTGAAATGCACTGCAAAAATAATTGATTATATGAAATATGGTTAAGGAGAACCCCATGTAAAGAGTGCAGAACGTGTAGATTCCACGAAACTACCCTGGTTCCAGAGGTATTATATTTTCTCTCTTCGCTTTGTTTTTGTTGGTACCACGGGAACATGCGCACAGTGCAAAACGTATAGAACCATAGAAAATACAGAGTGCAGAACAAATAGAACCCATCAAAATGCAGAGAGTGCAAAACGTATAGAACCAATAGAAAACATACAAAGAGCGCAAAACGTATGGAACGCACAGAAAATGCAGAGAGTGCAGAACGTATGGAACGCACAGAAAATGCAGAGAGTGCAGAACGTATGGAACGCACAGAAAATGCAGAGAGTGCAGAACGTATAGAACGCACAGAACATGCAGGGAGTACAGAACGTATGGAACGCACAGAAAATGCAGAGAGTGCAGAACGTATGGAACGCACAGAAAATGCAGAGAGTGCAGAACGTATAGAACGCACAGAACATGCAGGGAGTACAGAACGTATGGAACGCACAGAAAATGCAGAGAGTGCAGAACGTATGGAACGCACAGAA